ATATATTACGAAATAGTAATGTGTCGAAGTTTGATTGGGAATTTAGGAACCAATCGGACTCGTAATAATTATTTTTGAAATAATTATTATATATAATTATTTGTGGAAAATTGTATTTTTCTCGTATGGAATTTAAATCGAGAATATTTGAATTAAATACGGAATTACGAAAATACGGTCACACTAATGAGTATATGGAAGCACACTTGGATTTCTAACTTAATCGGTTAGTTGGAATTTTAATATAAAATAATTTAAAATTATTTTATTTGTCTGGTCTTATTTGATTGACCGGTGCTGTATTTCGGAACCAATACGTGTGTGTGTGTATATTTGTGCACTTGCCGTATGCAAGTGCAAAATAGCGGAGATAAGGAGAGGCGCAAAAAATTGCCAAATATCGGAGTGTCGTATGCAGACGATTATGTTTGTATGTAAATATGTATATTTAATTGCTTAGGTGGAGTTCAGCTCAGGATAGAGCAAGGGAGGAAATAAACAAATATCTGCATGAATTAAATCAATTTATAATTGTAGTAGCTGCGGACAGTAATTGTAGCATGTAGTACGTTTAGGAATGTTCATATATTGGGTTATATATTTATATATTATATTTCGGAGTGAAGTGGACTGTATCTGTAGTATGTATGTAATGTAAATAAATGCTAGCGGGAACACAGTAAACGAGAAGGAATTAAGAATAATTCGAAATTGGAAAGTTTTACTGTGGCTTAGGCATTTATTTAAACAAACACTTTCGGAATTTTGGAACGAAGACCTTGTATAGAAATTATTTGGATATAATTTCTCGATTTGGGGAAATGTCAATGTTGACAGCGATCGTAGTCTTATGGAGTGGACTGTATATGTATGTAAATGTAAATAAATGCTAGCAGGAACACAGTTAACGAAGAGGAATTGAGAACTATTGGAATTAAATTCTCACTGTGGCTATTGCATTTATTTAAACACACTTTTGGATTTCGGCCCGGAAATTTGACACAAATGTAGAAAATTTGGAAACCGAATTATTTTGAATTTGGAATTGGAAGTTATTATGCTTCCGTGTGTCGGATTAATCGGACTTGGATTTAGACAATAATCATACAGAGAAGTTAAGACGAATTGAGTTTCGCAAAACCTAACTGTATGACCGGCAGCAATAATGTAATGAACTTATCTGGTGCGGTGTTAAAGCCACCGGAGCTGCTGGCGGAGGCGACGAAAAATCCGGCTCGAAGGACCAAATGTTGGAGGGGGGCGGCTTTAAGCTGAAATGCACTCGAAATAAGAACACGGACTTGTCGGGGTTTTACGCGACGTGCGTCGATGTTTATTAGTAGTAGGAGTAATTGGTACTAAATATACAAAGGAAACTAATGCTAGGGAGAGCGGATTGGAAGCTCTAGGACTGGAAGTCCGGAGGAAGAGGGAGAGAAAAGGAGAGCGTACGGGATCACACTGCCTCCCGAAATTAAACGCCTTTCTGGCGTGAACACACACGAAGTGGTTCGCGTAAACCCAGTGGACACAGCACCAGCGACAAGAAAAAAAACGGCCAACGGCAAGCGAAAAGCAAACAAGAGTAAGTCCTCAACGGAGAAGTTCGGCAACGAACCACAAATGATGCATGGGAAGCGATTGCAGCGATTGTTGCTGCTAGCCGATTTAGTGCTGAATGTCGAACCCGGGCTCTGGATATTTAGGAGCTAATTGCATATTTATATATGTGTATTCCGTGGTTCGGACGTGGAGCTTGTATTTATGAATTGGAACCTTTCTTTATTAATTATATTCCGTAATAAAGAGGAAAAAAAAAATTAATTTTAATGTTGGAAATAATTTAACGTGAAGTATTTAATTATTGACACGTAGTTACCACGGCACCGAAAAGGCTGACTTAAAAAAAAATATAACCCTTGGCGCTGGCTTGGAACAAAAAAAATAAATTTGTTTTGTGTTGGAAATAATTAGCGTGAAGTGTTTAATTAACTGCACGTAACTACGACGGCGCCGAAAAGGCGGAATTAAAAAAGGAATGACCCTTGGCGTTGACTTGGCAACCTCACTGTATTATGCCGTCGGCAAGGCAGTGCGTAAGCGGGGCGCTTACGAGAGATAAAGGCACCGAAAAAACGAAACAACAACAACACCAGCGCGGCTGATGCGGCGGTCAGCGCGGGAATCCAAAACTAACCGTAAAGCGAAGTTTGCTTTTGCCGTCGGCAAAACACCATGTGAACAGAGAGGTCAGGAGAGAGAGAACAAAGCGGAACCCAAAGAACGACAACAACAACAACACGGCTGCTGCGGCGGTTGTGCGGATTTGGAGAAATAAACTTGCACTTGAATTTCTAATCTCGGTTAATTTCGTTTGTTGGTTTTATTGTAATTTAATTCCTGTGTGGGCGGGCAGAAAATATAATGACATATGTATGTATGTGGTTGGATGTATTTGTACAGTGGAACACCGCTACCGGCCCTGCTGCGGCGTACAAAAAATATAGTTGAGACAGAAAATATTTATGTATATATGGACAGCAGAGCGGATTTATGTGGGGGCATGTGTTGGATGCTTCGCCTTATGGTACAGTGGGAACACGATGAGTGGACTGTATTTTAGAATTTGGCATATAAAACTGTGCAGGCCTGTGAACCTTGCGTGGAGAAAAAAAACAAATGGCACGCAACAAAAAAAATATATATGTTGACACCGGCGTATATTAATTGAGCCTTTTTGTTTTGTTTATTTAATTTGATTTATTTATTTCATTTATATCATATTTATTTTCACGGAAAATGTACCTATATGCATAAATTATCACACGTATGTAGGTATGTATGCTTTAACCGTTGGCGAAGTGGAGCGGAGAAGCGAAAGGAGAAAAACGGCAGGCAATATGGCGATCACACAAAACGGAGACGGATTGGAAAAAAATTGACGGGAGAAAAAATTCGGAATAAATGGAATTTTCCTCAGACTGCCGTTGTGTCGGAAAAACTCGGATCTGGAGTTGACGCAAAAAGAAAAAATTATCTTGCAGCTGGGTGAACGAAATTGAATGTTCGGACCACTGCTGAAGACCGGCAGAGAGAGGGAGATAGAGGAGGCTCGTACTTATCTTGAGCGGAAAAATCACCGGAACTGCTGGCTGTGTTGCGGAAGGATATCCGTATCCGGCTCGAAGGACCAATGTTTAGTAGGGGCGATCCTTTCCACTGAAGATCCGTACAAAAGTAGTGTCCACCGGCGCAGAGACAAAAGAACCCAGAAGCGAAAAAAAAGCAAAGTCGGGGGCGTCGTGGGAAATTCAGGCGATCAGCTTTATTCGGCTGCATACATGTTACTAAACTAAGCATTGGAAAAGAGGCCAGAAAAGCTGGCTGCAGTGAGCGGCTACAAATCGACAGCAGCCGACCACGGTGTTCGGAATGCACCCGAGGCCCGCTCTCCGGAGTGTGCAGGCGATGTGAGCGCATTAAAGGGGCGAGCGGGAAAAAGCTCCGTCAGCTCAGCGCGCAGCGGCGCACAATGGGCCGCTGACCTAAACACCGACTATGTCATCGAGAACGGAGAGCTGTACCGACACCTCGGACACCGCCCAGACGACCAGGACTATATCCCTTGGAAGCTTTGCGTTGCGGCTGAGCATCGAGCACGGATTCTCCAAGAATGCCACGACGCGCCCACGGCTGGCCACCTTGGCACCCGGAAGACGATTCTGCGGATCTCACAAAAATTTTACTGGCCCGGAATGTTCCGCGACGTGAAACAATACGTCCGTCAATGCGTCCTCTGCCAGAAATATAAGGCAGAGCAAAAGGCACAAGCAGGAAGGATGCTAACGAGGCAGGTCGATGAACCCTTTGGCATCGTATGTACAGATTTCGTGGGACCACTACCGCGCTCCAAGGCAGGAAACACAATGCTGCTGGTCTTCTTTGATAGTTTCACCAAGTGGGTGGAATTAGTCCCATTACGAAAAGCCACCACCACCACGCTGATACAGGCGTTCCGCGAAAGAAGGAGGTTTGGAGCCCCAAAGAAACTGGTGTGCGACAATGGCACCCAATTCGCCAGCAAGGCCTTCAGAGGATTCCTTAAGGAGATGGGCGTAGAACTCCAATACACGGCCCCCTATTGTCCACGCGAGAACCCCACGGAGCGAGCGAACCGCACGGTCAAGACCATGATCTCTCAGTACGTCGGCAGCGATCAAAATACGTGGGATCAGCTGATACCTGAGCTGAGTCTCGCCATCAATACCAGCGTTTCGGAGACCACAGGGTACAGCCCGGCTTTCCTGCTACAGGCGCGAGAGCCGCGGTTACCAGGCTCATGGTACGATCAAGTGACACCGGGAGCAGGCGTCGCTCCGGAGACCCCTGCCGACCGAGCTGAACGACTGAAGGAAATTTTCCAGATCGTCCAGACAAACATCCAGAAGGCCAGCCGCGACCAAGGACGGCAGTACGACCTCAGGCGTCGAGCATGGAGACCCACCACCGGCTCCCTGGTCCTCGTGCGCCAACATCACCTATCCAAAGCAGTGGACGGGTTCGCTGCCAAACTCGCGCCCAAGTTCGACGGGCCATACAAAGTGGTCGCCCTTCCGTCCCCAAACATAGCCCGAATCCGCTTGCCCGGGAAACGAAAGGGCCGCCTTGCCAATATCGCCGACTTAAAAGAGTTCCATTCTTCTCTTCCCACAGGTGATGCAGACACTGACGACGACGCCATGTCGGAGGACAACGCCGGCGTTCAACCCGGGCCCGACAAGCCACGGTCACCCGACCGCGATATCAGCGAGGGGTGAATTTAAGTAACCAACTAGGTTCCCTTTAACCCTAAGACCATTGTTAGCAATTAGATTAACCTTAGAACTTTTGCCTACTACTGCCCGTTAGGACATTAACATTTAAGTATCAGTTAGCTTAAGTTTGGATAGTTCTCTTTCTCCCCATAGACGTATCTACGTGCGTGCCACTGACCAACCAGGATGGAGCCCATCACAATAGACTCCAGCGACGAGGAGAACACGGCTCCCAATGGAGCTTACGACAGGCCTGCGACCGCCCGAGACCCAAGGATGCGCCCTGGCACGTCCTACGCCGGCAGACCCACAAGAGCCAGCCCAACCGGGATCCGACAGACTCGAGGCCCTACCCGAGCCCCGTCGCCCCCGATGCGGCCAACTACGTCCAGAGCGCCACCGCGCCGGGCCACGCCGCGCCCGATGTCCGAGTCTTCGGACGAGTCTCCCCCAGCCTCGCCACCACGGCGCGCCGCGCCACCAACGCCTCCACGACCCTCGGGCCGCTCGATCTCCCCGTTCTACACGGACAGGACTGGGCGCAGGATCCCATGCTCTCAAGCTCCGCCGTCGGGACCCTACCAAGGTTCGCACAACCCGGATGCGCCGGGCCACTCCCGATGGTTCTACAACCCGGGCCCCGCTCCAGGATATCCAAACCCGACCGCTGCCCCGACACGCGACGATGACTACTTGCTGGAAGATGTCACTGACAGCGATGCCACACCGCCGTACCCCGGATACCACGGGGAGGAAGCCAGTGAGCAGGACGATGACGACGCGCAAACGATCAGTAGCGATAGCGCGCCAGACGATGGTGCCCCCTCGGCAGCACACTACCGATGGGAAGGAGAGGAACGGTACGGCTTCTGGCGGGGATCGTGGATCCAACTAATCCACAACCGCTATACCTCCATCCTCATCGAGGCACCCTTCCGGCCGACTCCCGACCCGATCATCACCTTTCCCCCGTCACCGGAGAGGCTATGCATAATGGCCCCGGACGAGGACTGGGAAATGGACGTGGGGAACACACCCGAGGTCCGCCCGCCGTCGCCAGCACTGGGGGAAGATGCGGCCCTACCCATCTTCCCCGGCGACTGGGCAGGTGACAACGCGCCATTGACGTCAACGAGCAAACAAGCGCTCCACATCAACCAGACATACGACGACGCACCATTGGCGTCCACGAGCCAACAAGCGCTCCGCAACCAGACATACGACGACGCACCATTGGCGTCCACGAGCCAACAAGCGCTCCGCAACCAGACATACGACGACACACCGCTAGCATCCTCGAGCCAAGGCTCGATCCCCACCGCCAGCGAGACCACCGAGCAGGGCTACCAGCCCACCGGGAAGGCCATGCAGTGGGAGTCGGAGTCCAGTGATAGCGAAACCGAGACGGGACAGAAGTTCCGCCGCAAAGAGACGCGACCCCGACCACCGCCGAACATTGCCGCGCCAAGTCATCGATCCTCGGTCCACCGCCGCGGGATATCCACCGAGAGGAACGCGCTGCCCAACGCTGCCGAGGCCAACCGCCGGGCAGCGAACCATAGCCGCTCCACTATCAACGAGGAGGTCACTCCACCGGCCACCCCACGTGTCGGCCCCGGAGATCGCGGGTTCGACCTCTCTCCAGGCACGCTGGACGTGCTGATGGGGGGAGCTCGAACCGGGAGTAGAAGGGCTTCTACAGGAGTTAATCCCAGACTGGGACCCGAGCGCCCCTCCGACAACGCCAGCCCCGGCCACCACCGCCGACGAGGTCCCACTGACCATTTCCCCGACCCACATCACCCGAATTCTGGGCGAGATCAAGCTAATTCCGCCAGGAGTCCGCCGGAGTTGCCACTCCGCGCGTCCGCGAAAGCAGTACAGGCAAGCAGTGAGCGCAAGCAGTGCCTGAAAGCAGTTCGCGACAAGCAGCTTTGTGTCAGGGACCGACCGATCAAGCAGATCGACGAGTCGATAAAAGCAGCGCGGCGGCCAGCCATTGACAAGCCTGCTCCTAGAGCATCTAGTGACGACATCGTCCAGCAGCCATGTTGCCGACCCTCGATGATCAGAATTTAGTGCGCGTAAATTCGCAACCCGGGTCCCACACGCTGTTATAATAAATTCCTACAAATATTTCCGTCCCCTCTAAATAAATTTCTTGAAGAGGATCCCTGGTCACGACTGGGATCTATCCCGGCCGGAGAGATTCGTTACATTACAATTAAATTACCCTGCATAAAAGTGATTATTACCCTAACATCGGATAATATCATGCCCAAGTCTGAATGAAAATCAGAAGAGTTTCCGCGTAAAAATTGTTTTTTAAGATCCGCAAAAGAACCTCGTGATTTTTCTAACTGCAAAAGTGATCACGAAAACGTGTACCCCACGGCACGGTAAAGACAAAATTTGCAAATAAAATTTAAAACAAAAATCAGCCAGCTGAGTAAAAGTTTAAATCGCGAATTATTAAAATATTAAAACCAAGAAGGATGGCCGAACCAGTACTAACTGATCAAGCGTTATCGCAATGCTTAACCCAGATCCGGCAAATTCCTCCATTTGATGGTGATACCCTCTATTTGGCCCTATTCATCAAAAGAGTCGAGCAGCAACTTGGATTTTACTCGACTAAACTTCCAACCCAGATGAATATTATATACGGTGCTGTCGAGAACCTCGTCGTTGGACCTGCTCAACGTTTGCTTATGATGTCAACACCGCAGAACTGGGCAGAATTAAAGAGCCTTTTAATCGAAGAGTACAACACCCAAATACCTCTTTCCCAGTTGCTCATAGATATTTATAAAACAAAATATTCCAGCTGGAGTTAAAGTCGTCCGTTATTTCTAATAAATTGCATTTAGATGGATTCGTGAACTTATGTTTCTCCAAGCGATGAATTCAGCTATTAGTGAAACTATTCGAAAAGAATTACCTGACAGAATTTTCATGTCCGTTTGTCGATATGATATTACTTCACCTAGTAAATTAATTGTAAAAATATAAATTATAACCAAAATTTTCCAAAACAAAATTATTATAATAATTCTCGCTTTCATTATATTGATAATTACCGATATTCGAGCGTACCCCCTATATATAATCATACTAATAATAATAATAATAATCATAGCAATCGTAATAATCATAACATAAATTCAAATCCGGGTCGCAATATAAATAATATTTTTCCATATTCAAAAGCAATTCCACAGGCTGAAACACAACAACAACATTTTTATAGAAACCATTCTCGCCAAAACAGAAATCAACATTTTGATAGTAATAGGTTCCAACAAAATTATAACTACAGAAATTATCCAGAACAGCAACAAAATAATTCAAGACAGTATAGACCGACAGAAAACAACAGTAATAAAAGAATGCGTGAGTCAGAGTCGGGTCAATTTAGGCGACCAGAACCAATGGATATTTCTGAAAATTTTCAAGTACAAGCCTCGGTATTTATATGGCATTTCCTTATTTAAATGTACACACAAAAATATAATATATTTGTAAAGTCAGAAATCTATATGTTTTTATAAGAAGAGATCTCACTTACTCACAAAATCCGGTGAAGCAGGTTCGGTGGGGCCATCGAAGACGCTGTGCTAGATTTAATCAAAAATGTTGTTAACTTCTGACCAAAAATTATTTTGTGTTGCTTGATCAAACGATTCTAAATTTACATTACTTGAATACAAAAAGTATATTGCATACGCAACTATCAAAGAATTAAAATCTACAAATTTAACACTGTGGCTTCAATCCCTAAAAATGATCTGCAGCACACGTCAACGTTGATCGGCTGCAGCTCTGCACATGACGATGCCTCCTTGCGGCATTCTCCTCCAAGTCTCCTGATCAATTCACCGCATACGAAGGGTTTGGCGTCATCGCATGCCAGACGACAGGTCTGTTCTCCTTAGTTCCTCCCGCTCTGGGATATGGTGCCGCACGTGGCACGTGCGCGTAAAGTGTAGGCTAGCGTCGCCTCACATTCGTCTCTTCCTCCTATTTACGGCAGCAAAAGCAACGGTCATCCGATCGCCGATCGCCCCTCCGACAACGCCAGCCCCGGCCACCACCGCCGACGAGGTCCCACCTCCAGCGCCGCGCTTCACTCGCCCAGTCCCTGCGGCCACCACCGCCGACGAGGTTCCACCTCCAGCGCCACGCTTCGCTCGCCGAGTCCCTACGGAGGATGACTTCACCACCGACGACCCGGTGCCTGAGCGAGTCGCCATACCAGCCGCGTGGTGGACTAATACTCACGACCAACGAGTTCCACTGGCGGTCTGGCAGGAGATAGAGCGCCGGAGCTATGCCGCACGTTACTGCCGTCAGCGCTTCCGCGTCCGCACGCCGGAAGGCCCCTACCAAATTACAATGAAGACGTCAGGAGAGGTCCAGATTCGTTTTGGTTCGGCGGAGTAGGGAGGGAGTGTGACGCCTCTATTCCTCAGCGCACAACCTCTAACATAAACTAAGTTCTAGATATTAAGTATATACAAATACTCCCCCATATTATAGTTATACTGTAAGCATACGCACTAAGACGGCACTGAAGCCACTATCATTATTAAACCATTTAGTTGGCATTGGAGCCGTAAGCAAGACAACCTTGAAGTATTTTTAAAATAGGGACAATTAAGTTAAAATTATAAGCTAAGTTCAGCACCTCAGAGATCGCTGAAACGGGTACTTTATCGACTAGTCGAACTAGTCGAACCAGATCAGTTCTCGGTGAACCGGTTCGAACCACCGGTTCACTCAAAAGCTATGACAGCTCGCGTCTTCCGGCATTCGCTCTCTTCCGTGGAAAACTTGGTACCGAACAGACGTGCCCATCGCCGAGTCTCCGCGATCAAGACTCTCTTCCGTCGAAACTTTGCACCGAGGCAGACGTGCCCATCGCCGCGCCTCCGCGACCGAGTCAAAAATCAAAGTGCATCGTGTCCTTGGTAACAACCGCGACGTACGCGACCACGCAGAGACATCGGCTACAAGAGCCCACGCATTCGCGCAGATAAATCTTTGCCAGACAACGACCGCGATCGGCAGCCACACGCCCGCAGACACGTGGGCTAGATTTGTAAGTTACAGGAGTCAATTCTGTAAGGCAGTAGTAGGACTCACACTTAGATAACACAATAATCCAGGGATTGCAAATAAGAGTTATGAGTAAAATAAAAGTTACTACCAAAAAATTGAGCTGGAAAGATGAAATATTTAGGTATACCATAATTTTTGAAGGAGTTCTCAAAAATAAAATAAACTTTTATAACCAATTTTTATTTTTTAATTGCGCTTTAACTCTTATTTTTAAATATTAATAAAAAAGTTGTAGAATAATTATTATTTTTCAATTTGTATATAAAAGTTGAGTTATAACAATTATTTGCAATTTTTAAAATAATAATTGAAAATTAAAATTATTCTCTCATTTTTATTTTAAAAATTGAAAATAATAATTATTCTCCAAAGGATTATTTTATAAATTGAAAATAAAAATTGAATCGCAATAACTTTCCAACGGAGCGGTATATCTTAAAGATTTATATATGTAATTAATCTACGCTTCAATACCTTTCGTTTGATGTATATATTGTGGTTATTGCATGTGCACAAATATGTACATGAACATAAGTGCATATAATAAAAAATTCACCGTTTCACAAACAAACATGAATACTGAGATAATTACCCAGCTACAGGTAATAATATTTAAATATAAAGGTGACAATTTATTTTATATATTTTTGTTATCTGCATTTTGGGCTTGCCATTTGTAAAAGGTATTTTAGTATCCTTGTTTGTTTGGGGAATGTAATAAGCATTACGTATACGCATATTTTTATGCACATGCAATAACCACAATATATGTATACATCAAACGAAAGGTATTGAAGCGTAGATTAATTACATATATAAATCTTTAAGATATACCGCTCCGTCGGAAAGTTATTGCGATTCAATTTTTATTTTCAATTTTTAAAATAAAAATTGGAGAATAATTATTATTTTCAATTTTTAAAATAAAAATTGGAGATTAATTTTAATTTTCAATTATTATTTTAGAAATTGCAAATAATTGCTATAACTCAACTTTTATATACAAATTGAAAAATAATAATTATTCTACAACTTTTTTATAAAACTTGAATAATAAGAATTAATTTCCTATTTTTTCTATATAATTGTAAAATAACTCTTATTTCATAATTTGTATTATAAAAATTATAACTGTTACGATCCCTGCAATAATCAATAAACTAACAATCGAACCTACCCGTAGTAGTATTTCTTTGGTAGTATTGGTCACGGTTTTTAGGTTCCCCGGTCTCTGTCCCGCTGGCGGCCCCAAAATACTGCGTTTCGGCATTTCCATTCGCACGTGTTTTGCGGCCATCCAGCCTCCCGTCGATCCTCTCCCGTGCTCCCCGCCGCAGCGTCACGTCAGCACAGGCTCTTTCCGTGCCCAGCGTGCCGCCGCGACTGGAGGTCACCTGCTCCTCTGCCCCGCGCCGCTAGGAATCCTCTCCCGTGCTCCCCGCCGCAGCTTCACGCCAGCACCGGCTCTTTCCGTGCCCAGCGTGCCGCCGCGACTGGAGGACACCTACTCCTCTGCCCCGCGCCGCTAGGGAACCCTCTCCCGTGCTCCCCGCCGCAGCGTCACGCTAGCACAGGCTCTTTCCGTGCCCAGCGTGCCGCCGCGACTGGAGGCCACCTGCTCCTCTGCCCCCGCGCCGCTAGGAATCCTCTCCCGTGCTCCCCGCCGCAGCGTCACGTCAGCACAGGCTCTTTCCGTGCACAGCGTGCCGCCGCGACTGGAGGACACCTGCTCCTCCGCCCTCGCTCAGTTAGGAATCCTTTCCCGTGCCCACGGCCGCAGCGTCACGCCAGCACAGGCTAATTCCGTGCACAGCGTGCCGCCGCGACTGGAGGATACCTGCTCCTCCGCCCACGCCCAGCTTAGGAATCCTCTGTCGCAACTGCAGTCGTAGCGTCACGCCAGCACCGGCTCTTCCGTGCACGGCGCGCCGCTGCGACTGGAGTACACATACTCCTCC